GTCTACCTACCTGGGCGTTCATATCACCAGCAACCACAACGATATCTGAGCTTTTAGCCTGTTGTAGAAGGGCACCTAGAGCGTCATAGAAACTGTCCTTGGCAGATTCAGAGCTACAGTCAGTTGGGGCGTATGTAGACACAATAAACAGGGTGCGATGAACCTCACTTTCTCTAGACTATCTCACCGACGTTTAAAAAGAGACTTCGAAGTGTTTGGGGTTGTAACTGAATTCGGACGTGCAGAAGCTGCAGCTGAGTGTGATGCAGGGCGAGCAAAACGGTCAGTCCTAGAGCTGGGACCTGCGGATAAAGTATTCAAATTTGGGCGGGGGAGGGTGGAAGACGGAAAACGTGAAAGTGTAAGAAGGGAGGCGTCAGCAGTAGCATGTTTTCGCTTACCCGCCCTGCTGTATGCAGCAAGTAAGGCAACCCGGCTGATGGCACCACGCGACGGCCGATGTGGCATGAGAATATTGTTAGTTGTGTATGTCATGGTTGTACGAGGGATGGGATACTGCCATGGCGCCCACACCTAGACAGGAGGACGATTAGGGTTCTCAACCAAAGCCTTTAGCTCGAAAGCCTAGCCGCAAGGCAGCGGTGTTCTGCTGGAAATGCAGGTACATTACCATTTTTTTTACGGAACACGTCGCCATACATGTTCCAACCCCCAACCTGGAGGGCCAGGAGACTGCGTTCGTCGAACCTCTATCCATGGACCAACCTGGTATGAGAGACTCTGTGAGCATCGTGTGGACACTCCCCAGTATAGCTCAATGGGTCTCCGAGGTACACAAACCGCCACACCACGGTAAGGTCCAGTCTCTTCGTGACGGTGTTGTTTAGAATATCAATGACGCACTGAGTAACTTCTAATGGGCACTTCAGCATTCTCTCTGTGTGGAACACATTGCCTAATACTACACATTAACCATTTAATTGGATATTCGGTATCAGGGAGACTAAAGCACTACAATTTTATGGCATATCGAAGGACGGACAGGTGACGCGAGAATCCGGACCGTGATACTCACCATCTAGTATTCTTGTCCCGCTAACATTAGTACGACGGATTGAAGTCAGGAAACAAGAAAATGGCTTTTAAGAGGACGGACGAGCATAACGTTGGGGGTTACATGGGTTTAAACACAAGCGAGAGGGTTTGTGGTTCCAGCCTGACTGAGGATTAGTCAGTGAATGCAACACGGAATAAAGATGCTTGGTGCAGTTAAAAATTGAGACTAGGGAACATCAGTACAACTCCACACTCAGAAAGCATTGTACAGCTGAAGACGTTCAACTAGCTTTTGCTGGTGGTAGAAGAAATCGATCCTAGTGGGCTTAGGGGTTGTTCACCACCAGTGTATAGTTGCCTTGTGATATGAGACATTGATTAGAAACTGTCCATTAATGGTATGTGCATGGCATGGACGTCCAGTATGAGGATTAAATTAGTACCAAGCTCCCATCGGAACGATGCCTTCGCAGCTATCAAAGACCACCGTGTCTTGAACGCCAATTCACCGTGTACACCAAATAATTATCCATTCTGTAGGCGAGTAAAAACTAGTGGTTCAGTTGTGGCCTCTCTTCGGTGCGTTGTTGCTGTATAACTAGAAGAGGACATAAGGGCCGAGGTGTTGCTAGGTTGGCCGCACCTAGAAAGGGACAATCGAAAATCAAGGATTGGGCTGGAGCCAAGCACCCTCCCCTAAGCCAGGGACAAAAGTAAGAGGACTCTCAGTCATCGATAACAGATAGATAAAATGACTTTCCCAATCATGCAAGTATTTTCTACTTGGGTTTCGTTACCGAAATTTAATAAAACCGGAAAGGGTAATAGGAAGTACAGAAAGATGGCTCAAAACAGATGGACCTTTTTACAGGCTTATCAGGTAGGCGGGATCACCGGACTCAACCAACCTACGTTGGATGACAACTTAGTGTGCGCTGAATTTAGAGATGTGTATGATACTTTTCCGGACCGCAGTAGTATTTCTACCAAATGAACCCTAAACATAAAAGAAGGGGATCCTTACTCGAGCACTTATCCGATATCAGAAACCAGGGTTAATTAATTTCCAAACGGAATCCCGATATAGCTTTTGCTACACATTCAATATGGCATCGAACAAGAGGTACTCCGTTGAGTCCTCGGTTTCGGAGATAATACGAGTCAGGGAACCCGTTTACTTAGCCCGCATTACGACACGGAATTTTTGCGGGCTGATTAGACGGAGATTGGATTTTATCAAGGTCCGGTATGCATATTTCTCCCATTTATAATGAATTGAGGACGAAAACGAAGGGAGGTTAGCTCACGTTATTAAAAGGCTGGGCTCACCTGTTCACAGTCTTCAGAATGTATTGCAAATTGTTCATCAGGAACAGCAACTGTACAGTCTCATCGGAATAGGATTCTGCTTTCCGCTCCAGATTTTCAACCAAGGCAGAAATAGCATCAACTGGAAGAGTAGAAGGATAATCGCATGGTAAAGGGTATGGCATCCACACTAAGCAGTGATATACTTTTCCTGATAACTCGACAATGACAGACTAATAATTCGAAACAGTTACAACCGTTTAGTAATTCACACGTGGTCAGAGGGCGAAAGTTGGTAGATGTTCGCATATCCCACCGGATTATCAGTAGCAAATTACCGACTAAAAGAAAGCAAAATTGTACAGTCTCCGAAAAAAGGGTTAGTCGCATTGTTATGGAGCGATTGTTGGAAAAGGAGAAGCAGAAGATATGTCATGCCCACGATTGCCTGTAGGTTATACCGGATTTCGTTAGGCTGCAAGCGTACTCTTCCCTTTTGGCATGGAGAAACCTGTCTGCGTAATTTTCCTCGCAGTTAGATGTGAGCCCTGGTACCAATAGGTTTGTCTTCTTTAAATGAAGGTAGAGGCAGACAATCAGTCATGTCTAGGATCCACAGCATTGTACTTGCAGTATGCCTCCAGTTCAAGCGGTGCAGTAGCTGAACAAGAATCCTGTGAATATGGTCTGTTTGAGTACATGGTCACAAGTTTTGGTCTCGCATGACTGCTTTGTCTAATGAACCGTTTGAACTTATTTCAGTATGTGTCAGAAATTGTAGTTCAGTCAGATCAAATATCCGTTGCTCCATATGTCAGTCATACATGGGGTTTGTATTCGAGTCTATAAGAAATTACTTGCATGAAGTCGCCGACGACCAGTATGCACAGGCATGAAGTCTCGATAGCGAACATGCCGAATCGTTGGATATCTGTTGTTTCTGCTCACAACAAATGGGAATATTCCACCTTCAAAGCGCAAGAGCGAACAGAACAACTAAATTTACAGCATTTCGACGCAGAAGACAAATGATACGGTTTTTATTAGTTAAAGGAAAGTGTTTCCATCGATGAAAGAACTTAGCAGCCCCGGATGACGTTCCGTCAAGGGGACAATAGTCTAGTGTTATTCCATTGTATATCAGCCGAGTAACCTGCAGACAACGAGAGGACTGAAATACAGAAGTCTGCCTAACATGCTTTTGTCATGCCAGTCACAATATGATAGGCTTTGATTTCAAACTCCATTTGAAAGCGAGCCGAGTAAAAAGACTATGAATGGTTACCGGGCAGATAGCACACCACTAGTTCGTTGGTAATCACGGGAGCCTTGCATCAACACAACGCCACACAGGAGCAATCGGAAGGTCAAGGAAATATCTGGAACGCGAAACTTCAGGTTAAGAACTTGTGCTTTTACCCCTGAATAACCTGTAGCACACGAGTAGTATACTCGTTGTACCCGGTTATTGCACAGAATAAACATACTGGCAAGCCGGTTGGTTTGAATGAATGAAACACTTAGGAGATTTCGGAAGTATATTGGAATCGGCAAACTACCTCAACACAGCAGGAGGATTGTTCATACGCTAGGAGAGTGAACGGAAAATCGTAGACATTTTATCTGAGGCGTCCTGAGATGTACAGGAATCCATAACACTCGGATTGATGCATAAATAATGCATTAAAGTTTGTGCGATCAAGCAGTAATGTCTACATTTCACTATACATCGCTTCAGTTTGGTGCTAGTTCGACAACCAGGTGCCCGACATACAAACGACACGTGGGGTAACCGGATGAAGATATTCGCCTCGCTATGATACCTGAATGAGCTAAGCAGCAGGAGACGCGTGCAATTGAAATTTTCGCTTCAATACGACGAGCATATGAACAGAATGAACGACTACTTAACTCCCGTCCAACCCGACTTTCGAGCTTGGCGTCCGTGTCTTCCAAGTCAGTCGTTTTCGACCGAAGACTACGGCGCCCAGGGCAAACATCTTGGTGACTTCCCATATATTTAAACTGAACTTACAAATACACCACAGTTTGACACTGCTAGGCTGAATGCTGGGGAGGCCTTGCTTAAATAATACCCGGATTTCTCAACATGCACATTTATTAAGGCCATAATTCCCCTGAAAAACACAAAGTCAAACGGAAAACAGACCGAGGCGGCCTACCTAGCAACTTGTGCAATGTAAGGTCAAATCAGCCATCAGCAGATTGATCGAGACAAACAATCGATCACCTAGTGCCCGAAGAACATGACAGCGACTTAGTTAATTCAGCAGTGCCACATTATCAAATGGACCATCACCAGATTTGTTTTCGGAAACCATCCATTGCAAATCCGGCCTTTCGCGATTTTTATTCAATGCTTCGAAGGTACTTATGGTCAAGGGAAAGCAAGCATTCGACTAAATCTCGTGGCCTTAAAACGGTATTGGACATATTGTGGCGTCATAAACGCTATCCCTTGCAGACAGACGAATGTAATGCTATCATCGAACGTGTCCGGACAGAAGCAGATAGCTTCGAAAACTATAGCGCTCGTTTCGCTTGGCATATTGCCCCCCCCAAAAAATAAAGGATGCATAGATTTGCGAAGTAAGACCATGTTTAGGTTCGAGACACATGGCAACATTATTAAGGTTATCTATTGCAATCACGTAGAATCCGATTCAATTGTCGCGATTTAAACTGCTTATTACAGGTCATTAAAGGTACAGCAGAGAAGTTCTACGCCAGAGATAGAGGATACTGCAAAGGTTCCCTCCATCATAAGTTCGATTACAAAGAGAAAGGTGACAGTGACCAACTCCGACGGACACCGCATTTTGTGACGAATATTTATACGTCCATGGGTGTCGAGACCTAAGGATTGAAGTGTGACGAACATTTTTACCATCGCCAGGACCAGCTTAATCAAAAGCGACCTCTCTATCTTATAATATGGTGAAAAGGGATAAAATAGCTGGGCAAAGAGGATACACTCACGTAAGAACAACCCCACACGACTGCTGTGTTGTGTGTCATTCTGCAAACTGACACACATCATGCGAATCACATCGGCGTTACTTTGTGAGCTAGCCTTATCAACGTACATCGCCACCGAGAGGATGTCAGCAAATTCCAGAAGGTGCTCGAAGAACATCAAGGCCTTTGAGCAAGAACGAAAAAATAGGTCAAGGAAAAATAATTGACTGTGGTTAATCGAAGCCGTCAAAATGTTTTGTACGAAACAGACCCGGACGTCGAATGTTCCAGAATTCATGCAGTAAGCACTTGCAAAATACCTGAAAATACAGTTCCCATAGAAATGTCTCCGTAAACTGAACCAGCGATAATAAACTACGTCCTGGTAGACCAAAACGTTCCCCTAAAGAGAGGCACTTCAGCTAGGCTACTGATAAGATATCACTGGTGCCAAACCATCATGAGTAGGGTGACGAGCGTGTTAAGGTACAGGACAAGGTCAGGAGAACATAAGTTTGTCGAAAAACTCGGCTTTCCGGTGAATACCGTACAGATCACAAAAGGATGTCAGGGCAACAGTCGCATCAATTTGTGATTAATCCTACATTTTTATCCGAAAAGCAGTAGCTTATCCTGAGGTGCTGCGGTCAAGAAGCTGATTAGTGTGAAAGTTATGTGTATCCTGCCAACTGCATGTGTTTTACACTGTGTGCATGCTTCATATCTGACCTTGGGACAGAGTGGAAGTGCCATGTATGGTTTGTCTTGCTTGGGTCGTCTTTGCATGATGGGGTAGGCCGGGCCAAACCTATTCAGTTCAATTGGTCAGATATGAACCACGTACCATAAACATTTTGGTTACAACTGCAACATTTTTGATCACAGGAGAGCGGGAAGATTGTAGGGCACACATCCAAGCCTGGAGGGCAGTGGCGTGTCCACTTAGTTCGGGAACTGCGTAGTTGGGCACTGAGGGCGATAGGTTTGATGCACGAACACCTTTGGGTTATTTCTGCCAGTGTCATTAACCATTGGTGAGTTGAGTCCCGGATCCAATCCAGGGAGGTGGGGGTTATCGCCCCGGCTAAGTTAACTGGTTAGTGTCTTCACCCTTCGTTGCCAGGTCATGCATCCACTGTCAACCTCTCGGTCGCTTCCACTCAGCACAGGGCTAGGCGAAAAGAGCTCTGCAAGGCAGACGGTCTTCTGGCATGCGGAGTACATGTCTTAACCTATGAAGCGTGAATAAGTCACCTATTACAGTAGGGTTCCTTCTTCTAAGGACTATCTGGCGTACCTTAGCAATACTAAACAGATGTCCCCACCAGAACGGTTGATCGAATCAGCTGAAATAGGGCGCGGGTGTTGCCTACAGCGAAATCCGTTTCCATCTGCTGGGCCCTCGGAATCCATCAGTGTTCTCTATCATCCATCAGGCTCCTGATTATTCGGTGTTTGAAAGGTCTGAGTGCGCCATTACAGAAGCTAGTTGCTGGTAAGGCCTTTCTGGCAGCAGTAAGACTCGCTGATCTCGACGATATCCAGTGTTAGTTTAATCGAGTCGGATGGTATGAACAAACAGTTCTGGAAGCTTATGTAATCCACTTCCATTTGGCCTCCAAGCAATCTTCGTCATCCGCATGACTGTGGGCTTCCAGTAGCTTTCTAGGCAGATCAGTCGGGCCAAATGGAGGATAGCGCAACACTATCAGCCCTGCCACTGAAAGGAGGCGTCATGTGAATACTCCTGGTCTCCAGCTGATGTTTGGAAAGCATTAGGAACAGTTTTCATTTGGCTCGGTTGGTTTATCTCAACATTCAATTGTCTGCTAGTCCGCCCAATCTAGACAGTCGCATCTGATACAATCAACCTTCTAGAGACGGTTGGTACGTCGTCCGGCTTCAGCCGGTCTTTCGTGTGAACCAGTTGCCTCTGCAATGTGTTGTCCACTTGGAAGACGGTCCGGATGTTGGAGCTGAAGGTAGTCCAGCGGATAATTTCAGATGGTTGCTGAGTGTTTGATATGGGTAACCTTGTTTTCGTTTCAGCTGTGTTACTAGAGGTGTTATTCGCTCAGTGAGCCAGTTTGTGAATTATGGCTCTCTTCATACTCAATGGATGAGCAGAGTTACATTTAGAGTAGTGATCTGAGTGACTAAAATGTGCTTCCATCACACGGCTTGTAACTCACGGAAGGAGTACCCTGAAGGACCGGCTCTGTAATTTCATGCAATAAAAAAATTATTTTTCAAACGTGTTCGTGTTAACCAGACAGAGATATCCTGGAAGGGCTTCAGCCGTATCGAAACACTAAGTGAATTTCATCATTCAGAGTCCGTATCTCAGAAGAAAAATGTGTTTATTCGCCAAGTACTAAAGCCACTCAGTAATGCATCAGAGATTTGAAGTAGAAAATAAGTGAAATCGAGCGACAGAAAACCGGGCCGTCAGTACTGACTCCATCGCGAACAGACTGGACGATAGTGTGAGGCGACGGTACACTGCCTTTGATAATGATGAATAACGAGTGAGAACATCGTGTGGAATGGTGTAATCCCTTACATATCCTTATTCGAATACGACACTTCCAACTTACGTTAGTTGCAAGCTCATGTACCGTCCCATCCGGCGGAACTACCCCTCGGGTACCACTGGTATGTTCAGGCAGCATACGCAGAAATTCCGTGTACTTTTGCAGCGCAATACAAGTCTCGTGGATCATTTTGTAGACGCTGCTGTTGAATCCAAAGAGAATGTGTTCTATGCCCTGAGGGTAAAATGGGATAAACGAGTTTTTCGACAGAACTCACGGTAGAAAGAAGGAGAAACTTGGACGTATAGGTAAAATAAAGCCAGTACAGACAAGTCCCACAATCTTATAACCGTGACTAATACCAGGAAGCTTGTGATGCTAAGTAAACTTGTGAAATCTTGCCGAGACGTAATGGTTGTGGTTACACCACGCAATCCAATAGACGACACGACTTACTCTAGACTTGGAACCAGGTGAACTTACCCAGTACATGGCACAAAACAGTAAACAGAAATCGAAGCACAATACAGCTATGTGTTCATCAGTTACGGAGATTTGCCTCACTAATCCTTGTTAAGAATAGCACAAAAAACCAGATATGCGGTTGATACTTGACGAATGTGATGATTTACGCCGTTCGGCAGTGAAGCATCGGTGTTGAACACTGATGTCATGCTGTTGATGATGATGATGATACGCCGTTCATCCTGGATAGTTCTTATTCTGTCCAGGAAACATGTAGTGAAAAAACAGATGGAACAATTCCATTGATTCAAATGATACAATTCACCTTTCATGAGTATCCGAACAAACCTATAAATTTTCACACTCTTCTTACTTTTACCCCCCCCCCCCCCACGAAAGTTTGCACCTTTCACTACAGGTTCCCCTATCGCCCAGTAGCCCCTCATTCACGAATCGTCACGATAACTTCAACGTGGTTCCTTTCAATGTTCGCATGCTCAGACAAATTGGAGAGCAGGTAGTTTCGGTTCAGTCTAGCAACCGCTCAACCCAGAAGTATTCTGCCTACCAGAAGCTAGCTTGTGTCATTGCAGCTGCAGCAACCTAACAACAATTAGTCTAGGATACGCAGATGATCCGGCGACTTGGGCATTGGAGCACACTGGTATTGGGATGGCCAATGTGCTGAAGCTGTTCTCCTAGAATGAACACCATGTGCCAGCAGATTTTATTTGATGAGATTAGCAAACTTTTCCAGGGTTGATCATCATAGATACAAGGAACATTAGTTGCTACAACGTTTTCTCCCTAACTTTTTGATCAGCTGAGGAGATGATGCTGCAGTAGTGACTAAATGTTTGGATGCAAGAGTAGGTTGTTTGAACTCCAACGGGTGCTCGCCACGATCCAGATTGTATACCAAGCGATAAATAGGGCGTCTTTTAAGGATAAGTTGAATACCCAAGGCGCTTAGATAGCGCGAACTCCAGGTACCATCACGTTAATCGGCATCCTCCATCGGTCATATGACAGTGAACTTAAAATAACAGTAATATCAAATTCAGTCAAGTCAATTCGCGTAAAGCCTTATGTTTACTACAGAGAGTTTTTAATAAACGAATTTACATAGGTAATTGATGGGACATCTTGATATACTTTAAAGTATTTACCTAAAATGGAGGCTCTACAAAAGCAGGCGAGACGCAAGGTGATTGCGAAGGGCAGTATGATAAAATAGAAAACCAGTCAGGTGAGAGGCAAGAGAAGTACGGGAGGTGGAATTTCTGGTAAGTAATTGTTTGTGCTTGGAGTATGTGAATATGGTGGTGGTGGTGGTGACTCTATTGAGCAACCAGAGGTTGAGAAAACACCGTTATGCAAAAGACCTAAGAAGCTGTTATTCTCCTCAGACTATTGTTTACCAACAAAATGATGTGCCGCGAAAAGCACGTCATTTCCCTACTGTATCCGTTGCTGCGTTAACTGGCTCATTGCTTTCTATCAATTATTGGAGTATAGGCGAATACACTAAAGATCAACAACACAACCGTTTTTCCAGGCATCGGCGACTGTGTTCAGAGGAATGTTGTACCGTCAAGCTTTGTAAAAATCCTAAATCCATGACAACACAAGCTGTATTCGGCTCTACACCCAACTTCCACCATACTTTACATCGTTCAGCCATATCGTAGCCAACTGTGAGACAGATGAGCACTTTCGGTGATGGTTAGTTCATTCTTATCGAGGTCGAAACACACCGAAACACTGACGTTTTGATATGTCATTGAACCAGACGTACTGGATAGATTTAAGGAAGTCTAGAGAGTCCTATTCACTTCGAAGCAGAATATGAGTGCAGCAACTCAGTCAAAAAGAAATGGTTCCAACAAACAGTCCTCAGCTACTTGGGATCAACAGCAAGCCGATTCTGAGACTTTGAAGTAACGTTTAAGCCATGAAGTATACGTGAAAGAAAGGATCACATTGTTGTAGAAAACAACAGCGGTATTGCCATTTATGGTTACTCGAAAGACGCACCTTTAGCTTTTTAAAAACTATTGAGTCCCGTCTAAGGAAAAAAAAATGCCTTGCTGTTTGGTGGTATTTTTTGCCACTATGAAATCAGCCACAACTGTACTGTCATATGTCCGTAAGAAGGATATGCAACGACTACTCGTGTTTGATCGTCGTTGTATACGAGACAATTCACGCGTTTAGTGGCAACAACATGTGAATAATTCATATATACGGCGTCGCCTCCTGCATAACAGCTTACACATCAAAATTTGTGGCATGATTTTGTTCAGTCAGCTCTACTAGCCCTAAGAATGCAGTCTCACTGACTCTACCTGATCAAGACTGGAAAAAAGGCCGGGGGACATTCAACAATATGGAAAACTAACCGAAAGGTGACTATTCAGTTATCCTCTGTTGGATCTTCGAAGTGTCCTTGTCTGACGTGACACGAAACTGAATTCTTAGGCGTGCTTCTCGCTCTGTTTTAGCATCAACAAACTCGCTAGTCCGTCTTCTATGACGTTACGTCGCATGATGTTATACTGTACAATGACCCTTCCAGGTCCAGTGCATAATATAGAGGGGTTCGTCACAACACTGAACACCGTGCCTTGAAGCAATTACCTGGAGGACTTCTAGGAGCTCAGGGCCCACCTGACAGATGCGCTTCATCACTAGCAACAACGAGAGAACCATGTGAAATTCCGCCCGCTTCTCCGCAAGTTGCAGCAGGCGGACCAAATTCTGCATAAACGAGGAAAATAACAGTGCACATGGTAACGACAAATAAAAGGAAAATGTGCTGCAACGTAAAAATTAGTCTTCTGCAAATAATTCAAAAGGTGCGGAGAAATATTACTAGACAAACGGCCTAGACATGTCAACTTAAACCCAAGCCTGCGGGCTTTTGCAGGTTGGCCCTAATGCAACACCCGTCATTCCCCTTTATCCTCGCTATCCAGCATCCAAAGCGCTGTCTCAGGTTACGTGAACCGCATGCAATTTTTTAGGGTAAAGGGGTGAGGTTGCTCTATCGACAGAAGATAAGCTGGGTGAGGATATAGGCCATTCAACAACCCGTACGCTAGAATTATTACAGTGCAGGTACGCGTACAACAAAGCAAAATGAACTACACCATTGGTCATCAAACACCAGACTTATTATCGGAAACAGAATGCGACCGCCGATGTAGCTCCTTCGAAAGTGGATACAGAAAGCTATTCTTTCCAAAGTCATTTGGGTCCGTTTGTTCGCACCAGTCTACACAAACGAGGTGTGCAAGCTTCGTCCTATTCAATTCCGTAAAACTGCACTAGGAAATTTTGAGCAAAGAAGCATGAATTACAAGACACGATATCCAAGTAGCACATTTACGCTGCTCAGCTAAAAATTAGCAGTGCCGACCTCATGACCTACGAAAGATTTGTTACCGACATCATCAGGGACATCAGTGTTGACATTGATGCTTCACTGCCCTACAGCCATAAACTTCATCTAGTTATAGTTAAAGCCTTAGAGTGAAAAAAGGAGAAAAAAGTGGTTGGGGGAGGGAACCTGATGTCAGATTATGTCGGGCATTCTGAGGTGCCTACACCTCCAAGCGCTCAATCAGACAACCTGGAAAGAAACTGACAACACGAACACCACATACATCGATCAGAATCCATTTCTTACGATGTCTCCAGCCAAGCGCAGGAGGGGTCAGGGGGATTCCATCCTAGAAGGCGTACAATACCAATACCACCCAAACTCTCCACAATCACTTTTAAACTCTGCCAAGTCATACGTTATCCACCTCGCGGTTTGCGGCATCCTGAAGGAGGCACGGAGAATAGCATTCATCACGGCCGAACCATCGCAGTCGACGGTGCTGGAGGTTTTCCGCGATGGAATTACCTTCTGCACAACCTAATACCCGTTTTCTAATTACCTCGTTACTAATCCGTCAGAGCCCTCCAAAAGCAGCGGTGCTACAGAGGCATCGGTGATAAAAAAAAAGCCACTGACGAGACAGCTGCTTAAGAAAGCGACATCCTGATTAGGGAGCTTGACGCTAACATGGAGGATGGTGACGAAGCACTGAAAAATTCCTTTACAAAACTAATACAATCAACGGAGAGAAGCGGCTGTGATCGAGATACCATTCTTTCAAAGCTAGGATTTCGGCATCCACGGTTCGTCTCCTTTAGTAGGGTGCGGAAGAAAGAGGAGGGGACTTTTTACGAGAAACCGTGTATTCCTACGGAATACGGTCAATAACAAGATGTTTCAGAACCAATGAGACAAACAAAGCGTAACCAGAATCCTTTTCGAACCTCCTCCAACACGAGCCCAACATAACTTCAGCTAGTTGGTCTGGCTAACCAGTGACAGCAAACCCCCAGCTGGGATCAGCTGCGTGCTTGCTGGTGCCTTCCGGTGGAGCTTTTGGGACACATGCTCTGGTCGAGGGCCCGAATTATTCTTTTGTCTAGGTTGGAGTGCGCTAACAGTTTCACAGCCCACATAAAACGTAAAATGCAAAAAATGTCCATAATTCGATTCGCCGCTCATTCCGGGTGACGGAGGCTTAGCAATAAGTTGAGGAGCAGACTTGCTATAACGTCTTATTCTTTACACCGGTATCCCGGATAATCGGTACGCTCTCCGAAAATGGGCGGTTCTATTGTAAAGGGGACACCATAATGTGTTCCACAAAGTTTCATGAGTTCTCATGAAGGGTGAACAGTAGTCAGCTCTATGAAGCAGGAAGTTTGTAGTCACAGGAGAAAACATAGTATGCCTTCTGGCACAGGCGAGAATTACTGAAGGGTCAGAGCCAACAGAAGGATGCATGAAGTGAAACATGACTTGAGGGAAAGTGTGTGGTTTACAATAGTACGTAAATGTGTGAGGTGGGGGGAGAGATGGCCCAAGTGGTAAGAGCGCTAATTTACTGACCAGAAGGTCCGTGGTTCGAATCCGACCTTTGCCTCTCGACTTGCCCTGTCTAGGCTTGGGCAACTTGGCAGTATCCAAGCCCTCGTGCTTCCTTCGGGTGGCATGGCAGCTAGGCACCGAAAGGGTGCTACAGCTGAACGCTTTCTTTACATGTGTGAGGTCGTATCAATCACTGTATTTCAAAATGGTATCAAGTACTTTAAAATGGATCGCGATCACGCCAAAGCCAGAAAATTAGGAATGTGTTGATGAAGACAGCAACTAGAGGCCCACATGGGAGTTCGGAGACTTGAAATTTTAATAGAACGAGGTCAGAGCTTACTTAGTGAACACACATTTAATGAAAACATACTAATGCATAACTTACATGTAATTCTGTCAGTATTTCGTTTGACGCCACCTTCAAAATGACATCTAGAGATACTTGCGTCTCATCTAGGTCCGAGGTGAGCTGAAGTCTCTCCAACCAACGACGTTCATTCTGATTGAAGGGGAAAATTTTGTGTGAAGAGATCAACGAAGGAAACCCAATAACAAACGTCAAAGAAAATGTATGTGTGGCTCTGACTGACACGATCTTTCATGCAGGGCAACTTGTTCTCCTGGAAATCACTGTTAAAGATCATGTGTACCCAAACAGGTGTCCAAGTAGGGAATGCGATTAAGAGAGATCCAGAGAGTCAAAATCATCAGCATTGTCAGCTGTGAGAACCGCGTACTTGTCGTACAGTGGTCGTAGCTGCCAAAGTTCGTTCACCGATGACTTGGAAAGGTGGGGTAGATAGCTGCGCATTGTAGGCGGGAGCTGATAAATTGGTGCGTAAACACGGCAGTGCTAGTGGACTTTTGAGCGGGGGATGGGCAAGGGAGCTATGCATTGCAGGCAATAGCTTGAATGCATGAGCGCCATTGAGGGCGCTACTGGGCCAGAAAAACCGGCACCAGTCGAAAAGTTTTCATCGGCTTCGCTTAGCGTCGTATGGGAGACAGTACGGTGAGAAGACAAAATGGCGTTCAGAAATGAAAATACATCTAGCCGCTCATTTGTCAAATAGATATGATTAGTGTGGCTTATAATAGCAACGAAATATGTTGCACCATATTTGATCAGCAGTAGTTAGGCCATTGTGTGGAGAGTTGATAGACTATCCTTGAGAAAGGGGACCAGTAATGGTACGATCTTCGGATTGTACAACCGGCTGATGTTGTTGCCGTTTACAGAGCTCCCTCCAGTGATTTCGTTCACTCATCGGTTAAGACCTACAGAAGCCTCGTTTGTATGCTGCGGATAAGAAATTCGCTTTCGTACCACGACGGTATCATGACATTCCGTTTGAGCTGGGTTTCGATTCGACCACCTGTGATCGAGTACTTAATCGGGTGCATTGTTTTCAATCATCATTATTAGCATTATTAATATTACTACTAGTCGTGTTATTATTATTCCAGCTGCTGTCTGCAATAAGAAATCCTGGGAAAGTTATCTATGAAGTTAAATAAAAGTTCGATGAAAATAACGCGAAGCATAAGTGGAAGACAGTGCTGAACCATCACATGCAGTTCACAAGTGATCAGCAAAAAAGTGTGGAACTTGATTAGCAATAGTAGTCACAATGCAATGATTCTGCGATGAGAAGTTGTCCTCCAGGTAGTTCGGCTCCTCATTTGAAACAGAGCACTATCTGGGTATGCACAACCAAACACACCTTATTAGAAGTGTTTTTGCAAGTGTTTTATGTGCTAACTTATCGGGTGAATTGGTGGTTATTTAAGGTGCCAATTTCGTACGGACAAATTCGTTACGCTGCCCGTTGGATACTGAGTTTAACTTAGCCATAATCACTGAAGCTGAGGACGGTTATTTCACCCTTGTACGACCCGTCACCACCGAATAAACTGCAGTATGAAATGCGTAGTAACGAGCTGCTCTGACTTCTGTCACGACCATTCAACACACTACTATAATTTTGTGGTTGGGTAGGCTGTGCAGTTCAAGCACCAATACACGCGTTGTTGATAAACCCCCGTTAGGGTAAAATAGCGGACACTGGTCCACTGGTTGCTGATCATTGAAACTCCACGCGGGACGGTACAAATGCTGACGCTGAACAGATTAAACCAAACAGGTGCCAGTGACAAGTGTGTGTATAGACAGGTATATAGACTACAACTTAGCGAAAGTAGATAAAAGCCTATAAAACGGTAGATTGCCAACAGGAGAGAGAACCATCCTAGAAGTTTTTGCTTTGCCAAGCCCTTATAGATAACAAATTCATGATGCACAGCTATGAAGTGACATCGTGTAAATAAGGAATTTCAGGTGATTTCAGGAATAAAAAAAATAATTGGTAATGTTGTGGAGCATAGGTAGCTCAGGTCCACCGAGCTTCATTGTTCAATTGCGAAGCTCGGCGAACAGAGCAACAGTTAGAAATGATAACTGCTAAACATACAACGAGCTTAATATAGGCTGGGCAACTAACCTGCATAAATTTCACAAGGGCTGTGATGGCGATTGCAAGGTGTTCAGAATTCAAATCTTCGGTTTCGGTTTCGTTTAACTGACGCCTCAAAGAAACTAGATTAGAAGAATATGAACGGAGTAGGAATCCCATGATAATTACACACGACTGGTGTGTGCAAATATAAAAGGAGAACAGAAAATACTGTAACCTAAGACGATCCACCCGGGTCAAACCACCAGTGCGCCTTTATGAGGAAAAACATCTGCCACACCCCGAACTGATGTTTCGCGACGGGATTTTACCTGGAGAATTGATTCCCAACCTGACGAACGTCAAGATCAAATAAAGCATGGTGCGCTTGGCGAATACACAATGATCGGAATGGACAGTATGCACTTGAGCAAGGTAAGCAATAATAATTTGTGTGAATATGTGACGCATTGTATACGCAGTTAAGTTACCACTGGGTATTGACCAATTATCGATCAACACACAGCATGGAATCTCAATAAATCGCGGACAAATATAAGACACATTCTCCACTCCTCGAAGGAAATTACCGCCAAATGAAAGGCAAAATAAGAGAGTATGAACAAACACTCACCATCCCAAACGAATCCAGGAGGACTGAAATGAATAAGATGGAACATTTACAAAGCACCAACTACACACTGGAATGATGAGAAAAGCTCAGTCAGGGAGCAATTGAATCAAATTTCACTGTGGAAAGGTAAATAGCATCTACCGAAAGTAACACGTTAATACGAAGATCATAACAAAACCAGATAGCAGTAGTCCACTTCCACCGAGGAATGTAGCATGCGATCAGAACACACATTCACAATCAAATTCAAGAGAGTTAGTGATGAGGCACAAAATCTGAAAAGAATATACCAATCAAACACGCGAAAGTGTATTTTCGAAAGACGATCAAATCCAAAGTCTGATTGTGTGGACAAATGATAGCTTTCTGAAGCAAAACGAACCACACTGGTTAGTTTCCACCATAATTCATAGTTCAACGTGAACTATGGCAAGAAAGGAGGGCTTAGACGCGGAAAACAGGACATAAGCACTTTTGGGAAACCTACCGCTTGGGACGAGCACGCTGTGGGTTGGCGTTCGCCTTACCACGCAACTGAGAAAAAGAATGAAGAGTGAATGTCAATATAGTCGATATGTGACCATACTGGGGAACAGTAGGCGAGCACAGAATGAGTATTATGCTAGGTAGATTTTAACGGCCAATCACAGGCTATTTACCCCATACTCCAATGAGAAGTGATAACTGATTTGGATAAACAGAGATTATTCAACAGGTAAATCACCCATGTGAGCATTAAGTGAAAAATATACATTACGCTATGAAGTTGTATAACACAAAAATCTTCATAGCGCTAAAAGTACAGTAAAGGTTAGTTCAGTACAGACAAAAGAAATTACTAACACAGGCACTCCTTAACGTATCACGTATTTCCGAATGATCCAAGTTACAGAACTCGATGAATGACGCGGACAGAACCTGATAATCTAATAGTGAGGAGCCATTCACTGAATGTCTGCTAAAGAACGGGAATAACTCAAGTGGACAGATGGTGCAGTTTGGCAAGGCGGACCAGGTGTAACTCCAAATCCTCTTCTAATATGGAATCCCAAGCAGCGGCTCGTTATCCGTCATTTTCGTGCTATTAACGAAAACCTCACGACCATGCTGGTGTTACTCAAATGTAAGTGAAAAGTTAGCGTCACCTCCGTAGGTGCTTCACCAATTAGACGTCTTGTAAGCCGGTTTGGTCTTATCTATCTGTATTGATGGAAATCCAAACATACTCCCCCTGCAATTCACTCCGGGATGAGTAAGCAGTTTTATGCAGGGGTGAAGTAGTGCGCTGGTGTAGTAGGGATTTTGCTTCTTTCGGCTATCGAGCGCAGCCGACACCAATATTCGTACAAAAGGTGCACCGAGCATCCTGGATGTGTTAACACCATAACAAAAATACAGTTGTAACCAACAGTAACAAAGTACTGCAGTTACGCCCTCTTTCGACTTTCAGGTTAGATTAAATTTGAGAGCTTCAGCTAGGATTGTTTGAAAACGACCCCCCCACACACACACTTAACAGTCCACTGACGGTGCGGTATTTACACACCAATTTATCAGCTCCCGCCTCCAATACGCAGTTACCTCTCCCACCTCCCCAAATCATCGGTGAACAAAGCTGTGGCAGCTACAACCACTGTAAGACAAGTAAGCGGTTCTTAAAGCTAACAATGATGATGAAACGACTGACCGATTTACGACGAGTTAAATCGACGTTGAATGCTAGTCAACACGAACTCCACTGTGACGGCTCCATCTGAACTAGTAATGAAATACAGTGTTTGCATTGTGACGCCAGGCATTCTTACTCAACGTGTCAGAACCATCGTTATATCCGCGGCAGCTCACTATCCAACCTCCATAATCAGTCAGTCTTGTCTGTTACTACGTCGTTTAAAGTCGCAGTCCAACCTTTCGCGGCATATGCGTGATAAGTGACTACGTAGGTAATGAAAGATTATCGACTCCTGTCCAGACCTCTGTCTTCTCTCTCACACTACTTTGTTCCAACAGTATGGTTTGATTCCAGTACTTGATCAGGACAACTCAGTAATATCAACACAGATAGATTATTTGCACTTCGAAATGAAAAACCTTCTAGTTGAGAAATTGAGTATTCGCTTAAGTTCAAGAGTGGTGGAAGTGCCTCGAGCTTTGGTGCACCAGCAAACCAGGTATCAAATTGGCCAATGCACTCACCTATTTTCTTAAGGCGAATGATAGGGCAGCAAACTCTATTTAAAAATCTTGTCTGTTTTAAAGTTTCTGGTAGGTTGCCTCCTTTTCCTTTGAAAATGCTGCTGCAACAACACCTATCCGTGTCATATCAGATGCACTTAACGAAAAGTACCTGGACCGAGAATATGAATAGGCTGTGCAAAAACACTGGAAGCTTTGCCAAGAATTTCTAAAGCATAGTTCAACTTCACGTCTCATTTGCGTTCCCCAAACAAATTCAGTCACCAGTAGTGCCTTCCACGAGCGAATCAACTGGATCTAAGCGAGTACCCAGGCTACTCTATTGATTCCATGGGCTAAGCGTTTCCGGTACCATTTTCAATTGGGTACTTCGATCGGATGGAATCATCGAATGGTCTTCAGGTAACTCATGATTTTTAGATGTACTCAGCGACAGTACAGTCCTGCACTGCTGGAGGTTGACGACTGGACGACAATCCAGTATGGCGTGCCTTCTGTCTACGCCCAATCCTACTGCAGCGCTTTGTCACGAAAATAAAACCAAATGCATCCGTGACACCATCTAGCTGGAACAGCTTCGTTGGATTGGTCTGTTGGTCTGAATGGATTTAACAAGATATATTTTGTGGAACATACTTCAGAAACATTGATCGGTGAAGTCGTTGTTATTCTAAGAAGCCACATTATACCGTTCGCATCTATCTTTTACATACAGTCCACTACCTGCGCAAGTATAGTCGGCATTTACGTAAAAGCGTCCACATAACCTATCCACAAATTCCAAGTGATATGCCTTAAACACGTTGATGGTTTGCAGGTTGCTGAGTCTTGTTGACATATAACCTAGACGCACAAGACGTCACTGGAAGTATTATTGCGATCAAAGGCAGCAAGAAGTACCGTGCTTAGCTTTTCTTGGAGAATAAGACCCATAAATACAGACTTGAAAGCTTGCCACATTTGAAAAATAAGCGATGAACATTGGTTGGACCGCTGAGCTTTTTTTTAAAAAAACAAAACCCACCATTTTAAGACCACTCAAAATCTGAACAGCAACAATAGATTAATAACAGTTGTGTCTCAAACCCCGGGTATCAACCCTACCTTACTTAGCGAGTTCGAAACAACTGAACGGAAAGGAACATCCGGGGACACCGCCAGCATGCTACATGAAAAGATCGACGCCGTCTCTAAAAATCTCTTGCTATTAGTTCCCAGGTTGAACGAGTTCTCAACGTTCTAAAATGAGGATTGAAAAGGGTTCGACGTGGTTGATCGCATTCCCTCGGATGGCATACCATCCTTTGGTTTTGTTCGTGGACAATTAGGACCTTTGGAGTCAAATACCCATTTGTGAATCAAGACAGTGTCAAGGTGAAACGCAAGGAAATGAAATTGCTGTGACTTCGATGCTTTTCATCAAGCTAATATTGTATCAGGAAATAGTACTGTGACAGCTTAGATGCTGGCCCGTCTGCGGGAGATTTGCTTGATTCTCATGTTAAACATTCAATCTGCAAAAGACTAGCTAACTGCAAGTACCTTTAATTTATGTTCAAATGGAAAGAATTGAACAGAATTTATCTGCTGCGCCAAAGTGATGAGCACACATGACAGTGGACAGTTGAAGTATTTTCACCAACCTTACAAAAAAACTATCCCTGTTTTCATAATATCATGCCTCCATGTTACCCAAAGACTCCTCAAAGTTGTACGATGCGAAACACAAGCTATGACAGTTAGAATGATTACGCAAGGCCATATGAAAATAAATCTAGTGGGTCCCTATAAAATAATTAATGACAACTACCAACAGATCAGGTTAGCAATCACAAAAACACTAAGACAAACAGCTACAGCAAGTCGGCCATCTAGATATGAAAGTGGGAAAACACGAAACACAGAGCAGAGACACAAGAGCAGAAAAAGATAGCAACACCAAATGTGCTGTAAGTCTCATGTATTGGACAGTAAGATGGGTTCCAAGCGGTGAGACGGAAATTCACCACATGATCCGGACGGAAAGCAGCTTAAATGAATCATGGAAAGCTGGACATTTGTATAACCAACGACGTTTTCCTCTTACGTCATAAACTACCCGGGACCTTCGACCACTATGCTGTAACGACATGAGTTTATTGTAAGTGAAGAATTAGTCAAGCGGGTTTGAATACCGTGGCAAACCACTCGGTATCAAATCGCACAAATTTTGATTAAAAAAAGTATGGAAATTACCAAATGGAGACAGTCTTCTAACGGCGGCCTCGACCGAAGGGGTAAGAACATGTGTACTCATTCCCACCAAGTAACAATCAGCTACGCAGTAAAGGTGAAATTTCGGTGTTCAATGCACATTCTACTGAAAATCTCGAGGGGTGAACAAATCAGATCGGATACCGGATTCTGAACTCCCAGTTAAAATACATAGAACGAGGTATTGTAAATCTCTGTCACCGGTCGAAACTAAAGCAGGAAATCCATGTGAGACACATCACGGTCAAGAGTACCACACTAACGCTATGACCCAAGTGATGTGGTAGAATCCTAAGTGGCTTCCGGGTAAAGTTGGACAAAACATGAGTGACTAAGCGATGCGCAGTCGAGCGTCGTATGGTACGTCTCTCTGTGCAACAAACCAACAAAGAGTGCTTGATGTTCATCGCTTTTCTCGTACTTGGCGTTACAAAGCGAATTTAAATGCTGGCATATCCTAGGATTCAAGATGTAGAACACGCACTCCATACACAAGAGTTTCAAATGTGTTAAAATGCACAAGGGTAAGATTATAATGACAGATCCGTATAAGATTGGAATAGCGTAGGTCCAATCTACCGTTAGAGGACTTGGTATGTTGTGGAGTCAGAAGTCCTAGTGAGAAAAAGTGGTGTACACAAGTTGGAGCAATGTAGTAATTGCGGGCACCAACTAGAAGCAGATAAAGGCTCTGGCCTTGTTGCATTGCAACTTTCCAAATGCCGCCAAGCCCTCAAAACGAACATAATATACTGATGTATGTATGAAACATGCACAAGAAGTGCCGACGATCACTTAGGTTTTGAATACACAGTAATCGTGAACTGCTTGTGCTGCTTGGCACAAAAGATTACTACACCATAACGACAACGCACCCGTGTCTCATTGCCAACTTTGGGGGTATTGTGAAAGGGGCCCTGGTGTACTGCGCAGGGACGGTTTACAACTGTCACAAATAACAACTAAACGCTTGCAACCACAACGGATGCGAAGGGCTGATCGATTAGCTGAAGCAGTGATGAACTAATCACTGGGCACACTGATATGATCAACTAGTAATGGCCAGCCTTCGGTCTAATCAGAAAAACAGTGGTCTCCGTTTACAACCGTCGGCTTTCATGGCTGCCACAGAAATTCCCCCTCACCAACCATGTAATCGAGGGGGGTCTTTGACTGGAAGTTGGCGCTCACATCAATGAGTTTGACCATGAGAGCTGGAGGCAGTAAAAACCTGACACTATATGTATCATCACTTCAGCACTTGACAGTGTGCACTAATAGTGAGTCGTCTTCGGAAAGCCCACGAGAGACCGGTTAAAGGGTTCCCTCAAGGTTGGGCCAGACCTTATAAAAACTGGGACAAAGGATAACCTTTCCATTGATAAAATTTTCCTCTGGAGAAGAAATGATGCACTAGAACCAGTCAAAAACTGTACAGCTGATGATCAAACGGTGCGGGGCATGATACAGGAAGGAATAAGGTGACGTACAAGAAAGCCGACAACAAGACGCTCATTTGAGGGATAGTGCAAGTCGACATAGAGTGGGATGCAATATAAAACATTTTGCAAAGCACAGGAATAGGTACAACGGTGACCGTGTGTATACGAAGGCACACGAGGACAGGGAACAAAGTGAATCGAACAACTCACAGCCGCCGATTGACTCTGCATATCACGTTCTCTTAACAGGATGCGTAACCTGCGAAAGAAAAGTCGGAAAGGTACTATGTCACAGACGAGTTTTCCCACAAAATTCATTTCCGATGAACCTGGCTTCCTGATTAGACGTACCAGCCGGTAGTGCGGAGCTATGTGTCGAGACATATAACAAAGACCAACGGAATCGGTGTGGCTGAAGTTGTTACAAGATTACGAGTACACCAAGAGAATGCACAATTCTTGACTGAAGATGTCTTTCAGAGCCAGGTCGAGAGGGGCGAGGCCGACGGCCAGTTAGGCACCGAAAGGGTGCTACAGCATCATCATGGACAGTATGACATCAGTGCTCAACAACGATGAATCGCTTCAGAGCTAGGTTACGAGTGCCAAATCCGAGGATAAGTACGTCAACGAGTCTGCGTCACAAAAACCCGCCAAGCAGTATATGACTATCGCGATCAAATATTATAGAACGAAGACTGATGGTTGACAGAATAATTTAGTGTAACCGATGAGTTACGATGGAGGTGCGCCTGCCGATGCTCACGATAAGCTGTTAAGTTCATTCGAAAGCGTGCGAGAGGATATGGACAAAAAGACACCGGTTGAGTTTTAGTAACTCAATTCTTACTTGTTTAAAGCAGAGCGAACAACTTCCCGACGAAACTCATGGTAACGCAGAAGACATGCTCGCGCTCCTTCTGCGCCATGCATGCCACCAGAGATGCTAAGAGTTTGACTGTTTTTCATCCAATGAATCATGAACTGTAGAGTATTTAGCAGCGGATCTGAGGCTTCTTCTAGCGGCGCCAAATTTTTACTAGGATGCATTTCCGGATTTTCAGACACTGAAAACATAAGAAGCACAAATAACCGATACAGGGTCTCTGGCAAATAATCGAACCGAATGTGAAAAAAAGTTCTTTATGCATACAGACGCTGATTAAGCGCGTTTCTCAAATGAACGATACCACTCTGCTTGCAGGGGTGAGAAACAATAGAAAGGTGTTGACCATTTTGTGGATATTCTCGTACTGCGACGGTCTGCGAATCGTGATGCTTGAATGCGCAAACAAACTGGGATGGTCCGTATGTGTGCGCTGTTACCGAACGTAGCTGTTATCGAAACATATTAATGAGACCGTAATCACATTTTGTGTGTATAGACATGTACAGCCTTGTGATCAGTGCAAGCTTGTTGCATAAACTTAACTAGAAGGACTGTTTCACTAGGGGAAAAAATCGTTCAGCCGTAGCACCCTTTCGGTGCCTAACTGTCATGTCACCCTAGGTTTATTTCCCCGTAGTCAGAGAATTCACATGAACACCAGTCGCGCTGGTCTTGACACTGTTGGGCAGATGTGGTCTTTTAGAAGGAACCAGCTGACCGGTCCAGAGCCCACTGTGCCCTGACAGCACCGCCGCTGTTTATTCCCTACAAGCAGCTTACTCGCAGTCAACCCCCACCGTATACCCTCGGAAGCATCCGGAGGCTGTCAGCTCTGTCCACTCCCGGGTACTCCATGCAACCATCTGCCGGGTTTCCTTCACTGTGCTCAGAACTAGCCTGTCAAAGCCATGTGGCTCTCATCGGTGCACTTCGGGAGACGGAAAAGAAACTTGACGCCGGAGTTAATAAGCTTCTTGGGCAAATGAAAGGTTACCATTGCTCGGGAGCTTTAATGCGAATGCCGGTCGGGAATAGTCGTTGTTCGAGGAAGACGGGGTACCGGAAATGAAAAAGCTAACAGCAATCACCTGCTAAGATGGTGCGCTGTACATCAATGACACTAGATTCGGGCTCAAGGAAGAATATACTGCTACATGGAAATACGTACAAAGCGGTTGCTTCCCACCCATGTTAGCTAACTTTTTCAGTGAAACCAATCGACAGCAGTGAAACACAACGACACGGGGAGCCGACTGCAAAACAGATCATCAGCACGTCTAAACGAAGCTTAGTGAATCAAACTGTACAGTTCAAACACCGCACACAGATTCTGATATAAAAAATCTGAAGGATTCAAAAACCTGGTTGATGTGTCAGCACCAAGTGACCTCTGCGTTGGCAGACTTCAACGCATCCAGCCAGCAGACGGAACTGACACAATTTGAAGACTCTCATGCTAGCGACAACATAGCCACCAACTACATTGCTAACGCCTGATGATGACGATGAAAAATATAAAAAAACAATAATCAGGCGATCTTGGTGGGATAACCCTAGCTGCTCCATTGGACTCCGAATTATTTTCACAAAAAATAAACGCTACCAGCGTAACGCGATTGGGTTACCAATATGGCTGAACGTACAAGTAGCCTCGGAAAAGGCAAATAAACGGTCCTTAAGCAGCGTTTGGAAGGAACGACATCAACAAGATAAAATTCCACTAGGCAGTCACATTCCTTCAGAGTAAAACGTCCGACTTTTTCGCCCACAACCACAGTCGATAAGAGGTCTTTTATTTACGAGGGTCATCTTCATTCATGACTAGACCTCAGGGGCATCAATGTGGAAAAGAGAAATGTCCCCATCCAACAATACCGAGGAGCCGCATCACCATCCACAGTAATAGAGCACAAAGCAATGAGAAAAGAACGCCTCAGTAAGGAGTGGAAGAAAGATAACGGTTGGGAATTTGTTTGAAAAAAAACTTACCACAGGAAACGAGGATACACTTAGTGGATGCAAAAACCACAAAGCCAGATGGTGACTTCCCTGGGCTATAAGGGCGCAGATCATAGACAAGAAATTTCACAAAACTCCGTAACTGATTCCCGCCCAAGACCCTTTTTAGCGTGCGGCCTGTTTAGGCTCAATCGTGAAGTGTACTGTGGCGTCAACCAATCCTGTTTGATGCCAGAAGCTCCCCGGAAGTTGCAAGCAGTCTCTTCACGTGCATTCCAGCGATAGACCGTACATAAAGATTCAGGTTTACGTGGCAACTACACGCCTCTTGACTATGTACTGCGTGTGTATGTAGACCTTTCTGTTACACGCAATAAACTGAAGCGTCGGTCGTCGAAAAAAGCGAGAACCCATTCTTTTGTGAAAATTACCAAATTGTGGAAATGGGTAAATGACGCAGAGAACAGAAATCACCGGAAACCGACAGAAAACTTACAACTTCGTTCCACTATTGCCAACAAACGCTCAACTTCAATTGGATAAAAAGTCTGCTTTAATACAGCTCCAAACTCGGTGCTCAGCTTCTTCAAACCCAAGGCAAAGAGCGATTGCTAAGAATTGAATAAGCCGCGTGTTACATTATAACAAATTAACAAACCAGACGCGTCAACTCCCCATCTCCAAGTGTATTCTGTTTGAAAAATTCATAAGCTTCTTGCAAACGATCCATTACTTCGAGATAAGATGAAAGCGACTGAGAAGGACTGAAACGGACAGTGTTATCAACAAAATCCGAGAAAATTCATACCCCTGTTGCACGATACCTTCCACTTCCCGCGAAGTTTTTCGGAACGTCTTGATTTGATTTAACTTTTCGTAACAGTCTTTGATATCTGAAAAGAGTGGCACAGCTGCAAGTCACCTAGGTGGACGATTTAGCCGTAAGTGTTGACTAAATCTAAATACATCTCATCGTATAATTTTCGAGTAAAGAAGCTGCAGGTCTTCTAAAACAAAAGAGAGTAGCAAACTAATACTAGGTACTGGGGTCTGATTGCCATGAAGCCATGGAGAATGCCAAACGAATGGACCGCACAGCTATTATGATAAATTTGGTGTTAAATCTAAGCTTTCGAATCAGAGAAACTAATCAGATGTTGCCTTAGAATCTGATGGATTTGCGCTTGATTATCAAACTAATTCATTGAGTGCCGGTTAGAGAAACTTCACTCCATATCTTCACGTACTGGTTGAAGTCACCACTGCAAAACCTCGGTTTGGTGAACGATCAGTGTTTCGCCGGGCCATCGTCCACCCGGACGAACTGCGATTTGTGCGGTCCCTATTAAGGAAGTTTTGTTTACAATTTAATGAAGTATGTTTCCGACTAAAATGAACAACAGAAATAACTTCGGAAACGATTAGAACTGATTGAGGAGTCGCCGTTATCGGAAACGATTGGGAAACAACCGGTAGATTTACTGTTGGGCAACAGTTCGCTTTTGATACAAAAGCTTCGACGGGCCAAGTGACTCGGTTATGAAGTTGGTCGAGATTTAGGACGGAAGGAGGATCGATCGGCTGAGTCAGGTTGAATCGGCTTAGGGTTCTGCTGAGGGTAAGCAAGTGTTAAGACCGATAAGGAATCTACATGGATTTGGGTCCAGCTTAGGGTCTAGTTCTTCGGGTTCGCCTCAAGTGAACATCGTTTACACTTTGTCCGTCTGTGTAGATGAGCTATGCTACGATAGTTGTGTAAGGGAGAGGGATACTGTGAACTTTGGTCAAGTTGGGATTTCTAGCTCCCTCCCTACTCCATTCCTTGCTAGGTCCTGATACCGGAGCCAATATCCTCCTTAATTACCGCCTAACCAAACTCACTGGTCATCTTATTTCTTGAAATCCGTAATCTCGATTTTGGCTGCTGTCCGCTCGATCTCTTTTGTATACAGTGCTCTGAATCGACTGAACATTGATTATATAAAACTGGCGCTCACGAAATTTGGGTGTGCTGATGAGTAGTTTACAACAGTCCCCGTGTCTGTTGGTTTTTGGTAAATAGGGGATTTTAATTTTCCACCACTCTTATGTGTCACGCAGTTCAGGAAATGTAATATGCTCAAGCTGGACTTCATCTCTACACTAAATTTGATATGAGGATTCCAACTACTGAGGCAGTTGTGGAAGTTGTTGACCTCATCCCATTTGATTACAACAAAGGTATCATCAACATAACGCCAAAAAATCCCCGGTAGAGGATGATATCCGGCCAAGGTCATTTGTTCAAAATTCTCCATATAAATATTAGCCAAAACTGGGGGAAGACAGATGCAATTCCAAACAGCCGCTTTCCATGATACAAAAAGTGAAATCATTCACCAATTACACTTGTCTGGATAAATTGTCGGACAGACCAGTCAGTAAGGACGAGCACTGTTGCACACCACTTTGGTTACGACGGGAGAGTGAATGTGTTGCATTGGGCGGCCTCAGGTGAGTAGTGTATTACGTCGACACAATGTACCGCGATATCTCGTACTGAACGCGAGGAGGCGTATTGCAGCACATTAGGTTGCTTAAGAACATCATAAACGAGAGATTCAGCTGGGTTCTGGGTGAGTCTCATGTCAAAACCAAACTGATATGCAAATGAGTATTTCCGTCAAAAGCTGTCCAATTTGGGTTCAAGTAGAACAGAAAGTTGATGGAAACTCGGGGGAGTGCACCTACCTGATGAGCCCCAAGAAGGGTGAAACCGGTCGTGGGCTGTCCAGGAGTTTTCAACAACCCATTACGTCTAAAAAATCTACCTATTGTTTTCCAGACTTGTCTGAAAAAAGAAACAACTGCTCATGGGCACAGTGCCAGAAATGATTAGTTCTGTGAACGCCGAATTTACACCAACACTGGTCGAGAAGTGTGCAAAGTCAGGACAAGTGTGAAAGAGTGCGACAAATAACATTGCGGACATATCTCGAAGTTTTACTACTACCTTACGTAGGATAAGCATGCCATGGTGTGCTTCTTTAGTGGGCGTCTATTGTATTAAGCGTCAGTCAATCGACAATCCCCCTCATCATTACTCTCATCATCACCATGATAATCATTATCATCGGTGACCTCAAAGCCCATGCGAGAACATCGGAGATTATCTGCCGTCCAAGCATGTTACGACCGAAACGAGTATATAACTACTGGTAGTTAACTGTCATAAAACGAGAAAAGTTCAAACAAATGGTTGAAAGGGAAGTATGGGGACTTATTACGACGAGTCTCTATGTCCTTAAGGAAAACGATCAACAACAAGGTGTCTATACCTTAAAACGGCAACAAAATAAACACATGTGACCACTATATCAGAGTAAAACACCATCAATGGGATTGACCGAACGTTCCATGCGGGCCTCATCCAACAAGAGCCTGGTACACAACGAAGGACAAACACTAGATACGCCGTTATACTACTGACGAAGCATGTGAGTAGTCTATATCCGGACGGACTTTGGTCTAATAAGTAACTTCGTAGCGAAGGGCTTTCCTCCTTTCACTGGTATAGAAAGTGACAGAATGAATATCACTGGGGTAATTTAAGCAGATATCCTATAGAATTTTGAACCATTTGCAAGAAGAGTCGTGTGGAATCCAGCCAGGAAGGTGCGCTGACCCACTAGCAACCAGTTAGCCAGTAGACGCCTTTATTTTGTGCAGCTACGTAATAAGCTGTTACCCTCGAATCCACCGTCAGCATGGGTTTGGAATGTAAAACGTGCTCCCTTCGGTAATTCGTAGTTGGACACGCGAAGTGCATCTCTCAACCACATTAGGCTGATACGTTTCACTTGTTGCTCCAGTGATTCTGCTGTGTTACCAAGTTCTTCGTTGCCTACATGCTGCAGGCAACTAACACCATCTATGCCACGAAGGCACCGGTGACGAAAGATGTGATGTCTAAGTTCTTTAGATTGCAGGGTCAAAGTTTCAAAACCATAGAGCAAGAATGCTCTTACAGTTGCGTTGTATACACCGTCCTTCAGCCTCACGTCACAACTAACACAAGTCAACCAATCGGGTGTTGTCAGTGCATGCATTAACTCCAGTATGATCGCGCCTTATACAGCTGCCAAGACAGGTAAACCCAGCAACAAAAACATTATGAACCAGAGATTCAGCTCGATTCCAGTTGAGTATCTCGCAAAACCAAACTGGTTTGCAAATAAGTGTATCTCGCTAAACCCACCAACAATTTCAAGCTCTTCACCTCGAATTTACGTGGACGCAGGGCGATTGAAAATTCAGAAGGAAGATGCAGAATGTTTACCGAAACAAAGAACCCCTATGTACATTCTCCATAGAGTATACTGTGCGGAGTGGTAACGGTCGAATAACAAAAGGATGTCGATCGTACAATCCAAATCCACTAATTTCTCTCTCTGGGAACTGCTTCGATTATTAGATTTCTTGTCCCTTGAGGAACGTCTTCCACGAATGGATCAATGACAAATTTGGAGGAAAATTGTGATAGAGCAGACTTGGCAACATTTTTATACGCATGATGCAAAACTCTGCAGAACGAGACAACCTGGATAGCGAGAGTCGAAAATGTTCTTTTTTGGAGTGCAGGTATGACTACTTCTCCGAGAACGTAGGACAAGCAACATTCTATATGAAGGCAAGAGGAAAAATCTTTTGGCGGAAGCCTGCAGAATAGAACAGAGTCAATATGACCAGCCCATACCGGCAGTAGGATTGTAAATCAAGGAGTTCTGCTGTAACTAATGTGTACAGGTAAAGGGTGCTAACATTTAGAGTGTGGTAGCAGAAGTGGTAGTGGTCGGCGCGCCGAACCACCTCCTCGTGGTGTCGATTGGGTAGCCTGACGTCATTCTGAATGAGCCAAGAGGTCATCAAGTCCAGACAGAGCTAACCACACTGTTTGGTTTCAATGTGTTGGTTACTTTCTACAATGTACAACACGAATCACCTGGCGCCTCCGCACCATTCCCAACACAGGAGACTCGTAATGCTCACTTTTGAGGACTGTGGCAAGTGCTGCAAATCGAAAGCTGGCTTGAAAGCCCACTGTCGAGTTCACTTCCATGAAAGTGTTGATACGATCGTGATCACCCGATTGAGTTGCCTTTTTCCGACGAAGATTGGACTGAGTCAACGGCAGCGCCAAGCACATTCTACCCAACATAAGTAGATAAGCCCGTCAGAGTGAATAATTCCGGTGTCCGCTAGTCCTAACAAGACTCACGATCACTATTGTGCTCAGATAATTTATATTCTTCTTGTGAGATACAAACCGCGCTGTTCGTGAGATTGGAGCAACATTTTCCTGTTCGATCGGCTGTCAGCATCAAAACTAGGTTACGTGTGCTTAACTGGCAAGCAAAATTGGACGAATCATCATCTGGTGGCCCTGACCAAACCATCGGTCAAACAGCGACCTACCATCCGACTGGAGCTTGTCAAGCTAATTACAGGTAAGTCGACCGTACGATCCGTTTACTGGGCAATTCGTCCCCAGGTATAGACAGGCTCACGCCAAGGATGCTTCGTAGGTTCAGTGTCACCGCTCTCGCTAAATATTTCAGATTACTCGTATTATCTGGGGGTAATCCACCGCACTTGGGCCGTGTCCGTATTAATCTAGTTCCGAATCCAATTTCACCGGACCGCTAAAAAACGAGTCCGCGTTACGCATTCTTATTCAATGCTTTAATAAACGGTTTGCTGGTTGCTGGAGCCGGCGACTGCATCTGCCTTCACTCCAGATTACATTTCTACGTTGGAACGGTTGTTTGGAAGCTACGTCACTGTTACATGCCCCGCTTCGTCACTCTTCAGTGATTGCTTCTAGAATCAGTTTGGCGTTTATCACTTGTCGGATCTGCCGAGGCGTTAGGTGCACCATCACCTCTAGTTCGATACATTACAGTCCTAGGCTTAGCCGAGAAACTTGTCAATCCTTTGGATTCGACAGACACCGCCCCTGAGCTTTCAAGGAAATACCAACAGCATCTGCTTAGACTGCTCGATGAGGCGACGCGTACCCTGTTGAAGCCGTATCAAAGAATGAAGACCACTAGGAACTACCTTACACCGAGGCTGAAATATTCGCTCGTGCTCAGCCAAGTTCACCGAACCACGCTCAAAAGGTTGGATAATCACCTCAGGCAATCTATTCGTGGTAGACTCCGATCACCTACGTCCACGCCGGTAAAAAAAAATGGCGGACTTGGCAGCCGAAGCATCATCATACTGTCCACGATGATGATGATGAGCAACGTACGAAGCATGTATTCGAGGATGACTGACAGCCCAGAGCCGAACCTAGCCAATGGTAGTTGATGGCGATGTGACCGATTTGGCTCCATGGTTGTTCGGTAGTACGGAAACACAGGACGCCTAGTGAGTCTAAACCAATTGCTTCTGAAAAACACGTGGTGGTCGGGAGAAAGTTGCAAAAGGCGCTCAACACTGTCGATAAAGTCGATGCCTGGACTAGACAGCCCACTACTGATAGTCAAAGGCCTAAGTCATCTAGATTATTCACCCGCAACGGCCAAGTTTTTCAGCCACACAACGGCACACCCCGTACTGTGAACTGACGGGCGCAACCCATGAAATCCAAAGGTATGCCACTTTATGCAATAAGTGGTACGAATTGACACTTACAAATGCGCCTCGCCCTTCCATTAAAAAATGGGAATAATGTCGTTTGAATATGCCATAACGACAACATCCTCAAGTACCGCAACCTGAACGCTGCAGGTTTGAGAACCCACCGTGTCCAGTTCTTTGTCTTGTCATTTATAAAAGTGGAAATGAATATCGTTGACGTAGTTTACTGTATGAAAACTTCTGGAAAGCTTCTTATGAACTCATACGTGCCAAAAATTTCCACGGCAAGCCAAGGTGTAAAGGCGTTTAGAAGAATGAACCGGTCAACTTAATCGAATGTCACACTGACACTACCTCTACTTGCTTGTGTGTTCATATCCTCAGCAATCACATCGATATCCCAGCTTTCTGTGGATGTAATTAAGCGCCAAGAACGCTTTTAAAGCTGCCTCTGAGAGTAACAATGGTACAGCCGGTTGGAGCGTAGGCAGACAGAATGATAAGGTTAGTAAATTAGGAAGGGAGAAACCTAAACATTCGGTTTCCCCCTTTTTAACTTGATAGCCAGTCTCACCTGCCGGTTCACCGTTCATCGGTCAGTAAACCAAGTAACATACATCGATTTCACAGGGTCTAAAAAGCAGTTATTTTCATCAATTTGCATTCTTCTTGTTTCCTATGAATTCGGTGTAAACGAAACATATCTGAATAGCTTGAGATAGCTCAGTCGTTAAGGCGCTAGTTTACTGACCGACATGTTCACGATTCGAACCCAACCTCCGCGTCCCGACTATTCCTGTCTAGGTTGAAAAACCTGTCAGTACCTCAACCCTCGTGCTTCGTTCAGGTGGCATGGCAGCTAGGTACCAAAATGGTTTTACGGCTGGAAGATTATCAATATTTATTTTTGAACTCATCTGAATTACCTTTACTGTTTACCAAGTTCTCTTCCGCAACAATGTACACCTGTGAGAAGCCATGGCGTGGAAGCATCTTTGTTCACTATGAAAAGCTTCCAGCAGCACATTAGTGTGTCATCAACCGCCAAAGCTGAATTTACACTTCAACTTGCCGCTTTATGTGTGCATGAGCGGTTTGCCGCATTTTATCGTGTTACCCACTAAAAGTAGGCAGTAGGTCACTGTCATAAACACACGTCTTAATACCATTTGCATTCATAGCATATCGATTAATCCATTCTGCTCTTTGGTAACCTGAATGTACTCGCGCCCCCGGTTGGTAATGTGGAAGCTATGCTATGGAGATGAAGATACACGTGGACACATTTTTCGCGAAAGCTTAAATAGTAATTACACAAGAAAAAAGACAGACTTTTCCCAAATAAACAGGTTTCGAAGCAGAACACCTAAATACTGGACATGAAGACAAATTGAATAAACAAGGTTAATAAGATGACAGCTTGAAAACTTACCAACTTATTTGCACGAAACCGGATCCATAAAGACATGCAAAGATTGTTTGGTTGCGATTCCATAAGTTGGCTGTGGTATGTTCCACTCTACTACAATTGTCGGCCTGATTCATACAAAGAATTTTCTAGTCACAACTAACCAATTTTATCGGTCATCCGAAACTTGAATGTGCTTGTTCTTGAATTGAATTTTTTCGGTGGGGTTAGTGGAATGTTTGTTGTGATAAAAACCACCAGGAGGAATTTCTACGATGATCTCTCACATAATATTCGAATCGTTCACTAGGATTTATAACTTAGACCTGGCAAAAATAACAGCATTCTGTTGTACATCTAAAGCCACTTTTCTAAGTTGCTTTCACACACATATGTGGACGCAACAGCGAAATTCTGTACGTAGCTTCCCTTATATCAAGTACTGCACTGCCGACCGGTCAGCTAAGTCCGGATGAACAAACAACCGCTAACAATGCGAGAAATCGGTGGGATTCAGGGAAACTGAATGATGATAGCAGGACCGGCAAGAAAACTGCTTGGCTGGTCGACACCCATCATCGGACATGTGGACTAAGGTTGACAAGGCATCAGACCGGAACACATAGGGAGTAAACTGAAAATCATAGGGCACACAGACTTCTCGACCAAAGTTTAACGGTACAAACGTGAACAAGAACCGAGTAATGTCGTAGATCAAAAACATAACGACGATTATAAAAACGCGTCATAGCTAGGGACAAAAACACGCACTTTTCTGCTGGCGCTGCAAGTATTCTATATCCTTGTTTAGTGGGTCCATTTTGGTTTGGTACACCTGTGCAGTGGAAATGATCTTCCCAAATTTCTCAATCGATTGGGATGATAGGGTTGAGAACTGCTGCTTGAGAGTAGCAAGTTCATTGAGATGGTTTTTTATCTGTATGAAAAAAGGAAGTTGGGATTCTGAGTTGGAAACCTCAATAAGAACCCACATCGGGGAACGAAGTTAAGTAAATACTTATTTGAGTATCGGTATGGCAAAAAGCCAAATCATTAATGAGAAAGTGACGTAAAGGATTGGGAAAACTAACTAATCTGGTCTTGATCGTGCAATTTAAGTAATTTCTGCACTCAGTACACAACGAATGAGGTCGAACAGTATGGACACAGTAGGAACGGTATTGCTTACTGAAATAGACGGCAAATATCGCAGCACCCATTCTTCACAGAGTATTCCACCATAAAGACCAATTTAGGTCACTGCCTTCAACAAAGAGGCTACCAATGTGTCAGACAGCAATAACCGGGTAAAGTTTGGCCATTTGCCAACAGTTAAAACGGTGCCCCACTAACTATAAAGAACATCACTATAATTCAATTGACAGACAAGCCGCAGTATGGGACATCATCTGCAGTTTATACTTCCCTGGCTCAGAAGGCTCCCTTCTACACTCGCTGTTGGAAGGTGCTACATACGCTGAGTTTAGGAATTAAATCCATATAGCTGGTTCCAAAGAGTCAATACCTGAAGTTGACGGAAACTTGGGGACTGGGCCTACCCGAACGAAACCGGTCGTGGGCTGTCGAAGAGTTCTCAACAACCTTGTGAGTAGTTTCCTCTATGAAAATATACTGCGATATCTCAAATATCATACCAACTGAAACATGAGGTGGCCTTTGTACAGCACATTCAGTTGGAGAATATCATGCACGATAGATTCAGTTGAGTCTCCCTTGAAAACCAAATTGCTTTGCAAATGAGTATAGTTGCCAAGTTCGCATGGATTTTTTTGTGTGATGGCAGCTGGTCAAAAAATTCAGTTCGGAAGGAGTTTGATCATTGACATGTGGGGGTACAAAACAAGCAAAATGATTCTTGGAAACATGATAGTCCATGACAAATTCGATCATGGACCCAAATTATGTAACTGTTCCTGTAAAGGATGAGCGACTCAATCGGAACAGTGGGACCAAGCCGACTGGCAGATCAACAAAGGAGCAGTCCTCAGAGAATAAGATTGGCGTGGCTTCAACACCCTCAGCTACCTACCAACAAAGTCTTCGCGTTTATATTCTACACGAGTTGGTAATGTGTACTGGTATCTAGGTACGAGCAAACTGTGCCAGTGGTATTTTAAGGCAGTGCGTCGTACCGACAGTATGCTTTACTGAGAAGCGAGAAAGTTAAAACCGTATGAGCTGTCCGATTCCAATCGCCCTTCATCGATCGGATCCTGCACATTCGCTCACAAGTCTTTACCTTCTTATTGGTTATCAAGACCCTGTAAAAACCCTCAGACCTTCATATGGTCCTTTCTGTGCCCACTGCTTTCCAAGATGTTACATGATTAGCTGAGGAAGATGTTAGTGAGTACTTGAGTTCTATGATCCTCTCCATCGTTTCCGTTAGGAGGGTGGAGAGTGAGCCTGCATATAGCTATTCCACAAATTCCTGTCCCAAGCTACTATCAGTTACTAATTAGTTCGGCTGAAGTAAAAACTCCCTGACGCAAGGAATATTTTTGCTGTCATTAACTAATGCGGAAGATGTGCTGTCTCTCTTCACTTTGCTAGTTGTTCCTGAAATCATCTCAGCACCCATGCTCCCTTTGAGCTGCACGAAAGCTGTGCACCGAAAAGGCCGAGTCTTCGGGTACATCCAAGACATCTGAACAGTTATGACAATCAGACTTTTTGCAAAGCTATCATGCTTCAAGAGTCTATTACTTGGTCCCGGGGCTTCCTGCACAGTCGCTTAAGATAGGTCAGTAGTTAGGGCATAAGGCCATTGACGAGTATGTCCATGGCTCGAACCCAGCCATGAAATTTGGACTGCTCCTGAGTAGGCCTGGACAACCTGGCGGTTCTTAAGCCATGTTGCTTTCTTCGAGTTACGTGACAGCTACTCACCAAGGTCACATTTGAACTGTCGTATTCATATAACCGTTGTATGTAATTACAGACGGACGACGTTGTCCCCCATATTAGGAATGTAAACGCCGGGGTTCCCAAAAACCAGCCTCTTTCCCGAACAGCCCCTTCTTTATTTGATCTACCTCATTTATCCACACCTTGACAGTTTCCTTCGTCCATCTACTACTCTACCAAACTAACCAATCAACCAATCACTGTGTCACCCACAAAACATGTATCATAAATACATTGGTTCCAGCTGCAACAGTTCTAACCACCGGAGAGTGGGGAGAATGTGGTTGTGTGTTGGAGGCAATGACATGTTTGATTAGTTTGAGAACTTGGTAGCTACGCACTGAAGGACCAACTGGCGTAACTCAGCATTACTGAACCCATGTTCCCACCAAACCAGACCAACGCTCCAAAGACACCGATGGTGAAACACTGATGCCTTTCGGATCTCCTCTCGGCTTAGAGGCCAAGATTCCGATCCATAAAACAGTATGGATCGCACTGTCATAATCTAGACTCTGGCAGTGACAGACAAACTGACACATATCGAGGCCGCAGGTTGACAAAAGCTGTCCCGATCTTCCCGGTCAGAGAAGTAATCTAATCTCCAGCCAGTCCACCGAAACTTATACGACTGCCCAGGTAAACAATTTTATCTGCCATTTCGTTTGGCTGATCTGCAAGCATTACATTAGGGTTTGACCCACCAGGTCTAGTAGCAGCACTTTACAGGCGAGAGGCGCATGCCAAGCGAGGCAGAGCCATTATTACTTAAATAGGTTTGCACTTCTAAAGGGTCTGAACCTGTGATAGCAATATACGCAAACGTTCCCATAGCGTTTCGACCTCCGAATTTTCAGAGGAAGGCAGAGACACCTCAAGCAGCATATCAATAACGAGGTTGAAGGGGAAAGGTGAGAGAGGGCACCATTGAATGTGGTGAACTCAGGCAAAATCTTACCCTTATAGTAAAACGCGCCCACAGGAGTTCGCATACAGAACCTTCACAAGGGATACAGATTTGAAAGGGACATTGCTCATCAGACTGTCATAGTTTCTGACGATGGAGATTTAAAATCATCTTTCATATCAAGCATTAAGAGGTGCCTACGCCTCCAAGCAGTCAATCAGACAATCTGGGAAGAAACCGATAACACAAAACGCCACCGACATCAATCAGCCGCAATGCATCCAGTCAAGCACAGGAGGCGTCACGGAGACTCCATTCTGAAAGATACGCAACACCATCTACACCCAAACCCTTCGTAATCTCTACCACGCCCTTCTGCTAAGTTATACGTTGTCTAACTCACAGTTTCCACCGTTTTGAGGGAGGCACGGAGAACAACACTCGTCTTGTTAGACTGTGTTTCGGCATGGGTAGCACATGATCGGGCCATCATAGTCGGTGGTGCTGGATGTTTTCCCCGACTGAATTACCTGCAGCACAGCCAAATACCCATTTTCTAATCACCTCGTTACTAACAAGCTGACGCCATCCAAAAACAGCCACGCTTCTGAGGTATCGGTGGTCAAAAACCTGAAGGTGCCTCGCATCATCTCTAGGGAAGCTTTTGGAGAGCTCACCATACACTCTCACCCGCACAGAATTATGTGGATATAGGGATCGGATTAGGTTAACAAGCTTCTGGGGCATACCCAGTTGAGCAAGTGTAGTTCACAGAACTGACCGATCAACAGAATCAAACGCACCCCTAAACTCAAGGAATACCAGGATTGTGGGTCACCTGTACATGTGGGGTTGCTCTAACACCTGACGGAGTGTGAAGATGTGGCCAACACAGTTTCTACCCTGTCGAAACCCCGCTTGATTCTCACTAGTCAATGTTTCGCGTGCCACCATAAGCCGAAGAAGTATCAGTGACGCCAGAAGCCTTGTCACAACAGAAGTCCAAATAACACTTTGTAGTTACTACATTTGTTGCGAGTACCCTTTTTGAAAATGGGCGCCGCTAACGATTCACCCCAGTTGCCTGGAACGGGCTCTCTCTACCAGATCGACCCAAACAGGCTAGACGGACACCGGCTGAGAAGTCCACCAACATCCTTGAAAAGCGCAGGCGGAAGGTCGTCGGGAACAGCAGCACGATGACGATTGAGTAGAGCTATACACACGGCCTCTTCCAAGACAGGAGACAGCTCGATATTCACGGTCCATTCTTTCGGTTGAAATTCAGGATTCTGGATTGGAGGTAGCAGGTAGCCAGCTGAATCACTATTCGAAGTGATGTGCCCAGCGGTCAGAATGTTCTGCCTTGCGTACGAAAAGGGAGACATTTCGGTCCATGTTTATTTCACTGAAAACAGGTTTTCGA